TTACTCTCCTTTCTTGTACATTTTTGTTTTTCTGGAAGAACTGCACCAGACTGAAGAAGACTAAAGAGACATGAATTAAAAGCAACACATGATTCTGCTCTGGATTGGTTTGCTATAAAAGACATTATTGGGAAAACTGGTAAAAATTGAGAGTGGTTTGAGCATTAGGTGGCAGAAATATTCGAGCATGAATTTCCTGATTTTGATGGTTGTATGATAGTTGTGTATGAGAATATATAAGGTATTAAGGGATGATGGGATATCAGATTACCAAATAAATCCCAAATGGTTCAGGGGGAAAAAGTTTGTTCTGTACTTACTACAAAAGAATTTGTGACCTTATTTTTTCAAAATAAAAAAAACAAATTAAGAAAAATTAACCAGATCACATTATTACAGTGGTTCCTTACTATATTTGAAATGAAACTTAATCTCTTTACCATGGTCTACAGGTCTCCCTCAAAGCTTCTTTCTTACAATTTTCTCCTTCAATAACCACATTTCAGCCACTGTGGTCTCCTGTTTGTTCTTAGATGACATTAAGCTCCTTAACAACTCAGAGCATTTCCCTCTTGCTATCGGTCTGTGACATCTTTCTCCTGGTTTTTAGATGGCCGCTTTCTCATCCTTCAGAGCTCAGTTCATACGGTCAGCTCCTCAGAGAGACCTTTCCTGACTATAATCTCTAAAGCAGGACCCCTGCTTTCGTTAACAGCACATAACCTAATGTGTATTTATATTCTTTACATGTTTTATCTCTCTTCTTTACTAAAATATAAATCCATGGCTATTTTGTTGACAGTGGTATGCCCAGAGTTTAGTAAAATACCAGGCACATTTGAAGAATTCAACATTTTTTAATAAATGAGTAAATTATATTGATTATATATTAAAGTAACACTAGCCTAAACATGCAAATTCATCTATAATCCATTCCCGTCACCTCCTTTGGCCTAGCAGATTATTTTTGGAAACCAGAAATACCTTGAAAAGCTTCAGCTCAGCTAATACCAAGGAACATTCTATACATATTTTATATCTCCAGAAAATATTCTTCTTCCTTGTGTTTCATCTCCAAGATCTTCTACTACATGCCTAAAAAATCAACAATAAATTGCACTACTTAAAAGAGCCCTTCAAAATCTGGTCATTCATTAACCACAGAACCAAAGGACTCAATGTTCCTGTGATAGAATTTCTGGGATTCATCGATTCAGTACAGTGTACTTAATGTCTCTAAAAAGGGATTCATTCCCAAATGTGTCTTAGCTAAAGCTGTTTACACATCCTATCTGACTTCCAAATAATAAAAAATACCCAATTGTGGTGAACCTGTGCAGGTGCCGTTATCTTTATGAAGTCTCCGGTAACCAAAATTTCTTACTCTTTGGAACACCAATCACCACAGCAAAGAATATGTAAAGTAAAAAATGTAATGGGCCACAATTGTAATTATCTGCTGACTGCCAAACATGGATAATTTTTTTTATTTTTTTAAAAAATATTTTATTTATTTGACAGAGAGAGCACAAGCAGAGGGAGAGAGAGGGAGAAGCAGGCTCCCTGCTGAGCAAGGAGCCCAATGTGGGACTCGATCCCAGGACCCTGGGATCATGACCCGGGCTGAAGGCAGCCACTTAACCAACTGAGCCACCCAGGTGTCCCATGGATAATTTTTTAAATTAAGTTATCATTTACATACAATAATATTCATACAGTTTGTTGTACAGTTCTATGAATTTTGACAAATGCTCAGTCATGTAACCACTAATATCATCAAAATATAGAATATTTTCCTCATCCTCCAAAGCTCCTTCAGAACCCTAGGTAGTCAACCCCTCCCCCCACCCAAACCCTAGAAACCACTGAATTGTTCTGTGTTCCAACTGTTTAGCCTTTTCTAGAATGTCATATAAATGGAATCCTACAATCCTACAATCCTACTCTTTTGAGTCTGGCTTCTTTCACATAGCAAAATGCATCTAAGACTAGTCATGTTATTGCTTGCATCAATATTTCCTTTTTATTGCTGGTAGTCTATTACATGGATATACCATAGTGTGCTTACCCCATTACCAGTTGAGAGACAATTGGATGGTTTCCAGATTTTGAATAAAACGTCTAAAAACTGGGGCAGCCTGGCTGGCTCAGTCAGAAGAGCATGTGATTCTTGACCTTGGGGTCATGAGTCTAAGCCCCATATTGGATGTAGAGATTACTAAAAAAAATAAATAAACTTTTAAAAATTCCCTTTAAAAAACCCTCTAAAAACATGTACATGCAGGTTTTTGTGTTGGGCTACATTTTAAAATTTGATAAGAATAGGGTTATGCCAAAATAAAGCATTGTTCTGAGAGCAAAATAGAGAATCAAAGACAGTTGTCTTTGATTCTCACTGTCAACAAAATAGCCATGGATTTATATTTTAGTAAAGAAGAGAGATAAAACATGTAAAGAATATAAATACACATTAGGTTATGTAATTACTTGAACAAGTTTTTTAAAAAAATGACTCTAATGAAGCAGAAGGAAAACACAGAGTCACAGAGGAAGAGACAAAACACATACCAATATAAAGAAGGAATAATAATAATAAACTCTCTAGAACTACAAGGAAGTATAGGGTACGTGTAAAAAAAGAAGGAATAGAAAATATTAATTTTTAAATCCATAATAAGCAGAACTTGCTTAGGAAAGAGTAATATAAAAGAAAGATGGAAAAATACTCTTCTATCTCATCACAAAATTCTTATGAATATTCCAGTAAAAAGCTGGACATCTCCAGATGCACCAATCACAGCAAGCACAACAGGTGTCATTGTCTCCCTGATCACTGAGAGTAAGACAAATGACAGTGCCCTTCTGGACAACCCAACCATGGCCTCCACCAAAGCCCCTGCAATTCTGAGACCATTAGAGTGTCCACTAAAGCCTCTGGGACTACTCCAGCCTCTGTGTCCTCCTCAGCCACCCCAATACCCATCGAGACCGCCACAATAGCTGTGCCCACCACATCATTCAATACAGTTTCTGAGAGTACCACGACCTTCTGAGAATGTCTATTCCCACCATGGTCTTCCCCATGACCTCTGAAACTATACCTTCCACCATAGCCTCAGAACCCACTGTGGAGCCTATGTGCAAAATGGGCTCCAGTACAGACTGAGCCCATCAAGTCCATCATGGCCATCTCATCAGTCTCTCAGTTCACCACAGATTTGTCCACTTTTTCAGTACCTACTACAAATAAAACCACAGTTTCTGAGGCCCTGACTATGTCGGCCACAGCCTCAGAGATCACCATAAGCCTTGACTTTAGTCTCATCACCCACCCCCAGGCCTCTACTTCTGCCTCTGGGGTCCCCACAGTCTCTACCAGGGTCTCTGGACCTTTCACGGTCTCTTTTATCACCTTGGTGCCCATCAAGGCCATTGACTTTTCTACTCAGTCCATCACTAACACAGCTGTATCAGGTGCTGACCACCACGTCTTCTCTAAGCACACACATTTACCTCCAGTGTCAACCATTGCCTTTTTGCCTGTTTCTGTCATTTCTGCTCTAGACTCTAGTCAAGCCATCAATCCTGTTAGATATACTTCTGTTCTCTTTTCTTGAATCCTATTTATTTCTACTCTGGTCTCACCTTCTTTTGTCCAGTGTCCATCATTTCCAACCTAATCAGAAACACTTCTTTGTAAGTATCTCCCCCCAACACACACACACACACACACACACACACACACACACACACACAC